TCACAATAGCAGAGACTTGGAATCAACCCAAATATCCATCAGTGATAGACCGGATTAAGAAAATGTGGCACATATACACCATGGAATACTATGCAGCCATAAAAAAGGATGAGTTTGTGTCCTTTGTAGGGACATGGATGCAGCTGGAAACCATCACTCTCAGCAAACTATTGCAAGAACAGAAAACCAAACACCGCATGTTCTCACTCATAGGTGGGAATTGAACAATGAGATCATTTGGACTCGGGAAGGGGAACATCACACACCGGGACCTATTATGAGGAGGGGGGAGGGATTGCATTGGGAGTTATACCTGATGTAAATGACGAGTTGATGGGTGCAGCACACCAACATGGCACAAGTATACATATGTAACAAACCTGCACGTTATGCACATGTACCCTACATCTTAAAGTATAATAATAATAATAAAAAGAAGATATTTATGCAGCCAACAAACACATGAGAAAACTCTTCATCATTGGTCATTAGAGAAATGCAAATCAAAACCACAATGAGACATCATCTCAGGCCAGTTAGAATGGTGATCATTAAAAAGTCAGGAAACAACAGATGTTGGAGAGGATGTGGAGAAATAGGAACACTTTTACACTGTTTGGACTGTAAACTAGTTTACCATATGTGAACACTTTTACACTGTTGGTGGGACTGTAAACTAGAAATATCATATGACCCAGCCATCCCACTACTGGGTATATACCCAAGGGATTATAAATCATGCTGCTATAAAGACACATGCACACGTATGTTTATTGTGGCACTATTCACAATAGCAGAGACTTGGCATCAACCCAAATATCCATCAATAACAGACTCGATAAAGAAAATGTGGCACATATACACTATGGAATACTGCACAGCCATAAAACGGATGAATTCATCTCCTTTGCAGGGATATGGATGATGCTGGAAACCATCATTCTCAGCAAACTAACACAAGAACAGAAAACCAAACACTGCATATTCTTATAAGTGGGAGTCGAACAGTGAGAACACATGGACACACGGAGGGGAACATCACATTTGGGTCCTCTCTGGCGTAGGGCGGGTAGGGAAGGGATAGCATTAGGACAAATACCTAATGTAGATGGTGGGTTGATGGGTGCAGCAAACCACCATGGCAGATGATTACCTATGTAACAAACCTGCATGTTCTGCACATGTACCCCAGAACTTAAAGTATAACTTAAAAAATCTTTTTGAAAAAAGGGCTTTTCTATTTTGGGGCATCAGGGAAAGGTATATGGAGGAGAAAAGAGATGAACTGGGCTTTGTTGGAGGGTGTATTTGTAACCTAGAGGGGAGAGATGTGTTCAAGGTGAAGAAAAAGCATCATGTAATTCATGCACTTTACAATTCCATGCCCTATACTAAATGGATGAACCAAATACAGGCCATAGCCTCATGGATCTTATTGTAAGTAGAAGAAACAAACAATGAATGAATACAAATGTAACATAACATTACAAATGGATTTTTACTATAGAGAAAAGTATACCTGTTAATGAGAGAAGAAAGTAGGGTGTTTAGAAAAGTTATTTCCAAGGCGGTGAACTTGGGAGAATTGGATCAAATTTGTTTGCACCCAAATTAACCTAAAATATATATACGTATGACAATGAATTCTTTTTCTGGCTTAATTGTAGTGTGCGATACAGTCTTATAGTTCAGAAATTTATAATGCATCAAAAAAGTGGAAATCTCCCTCCCATCCATATTTCACAACCACTCAGTTAATATCTCCCCCCACTCACTAAGTCTCTGGAGAAAAGTATTTCAGTTTGAGGAAATAGTAAAAAATGCTGTGAGACCATAGTGTTTTTTGCCATTTTTGAGAAAATGAAAGAGCTGGAGCAAGAGGAAGAATTACAGGAAATGATGTTAGAGAGACAGATCAGATCATGTACATAGGGCCTTTGGGCCATGGAAAGACATCAGGATCCAATTGAAGTGTGGGGGATGACATCAGAGTGTTTTGAGAAGTGCAGCAAGATTTGATTTGCATTTCTTAAAAGTTCACTCTAGGAATGTGTAAAATCAATGGTAGGAGGACAAAAATGGGCCACCGTGAGGTCAGGTAGGAGACTATTACAGGAATCCTAGTACAAAACAAATGGAACTTAGATGAGGGAGGGCAAAGATAGAGAAAGCAGAATATTCTCTCCTACTCCTGTCAATTTAGGGATACCCTTCAGGCAATCATTAGCTATATAACAATGGAAACAAGAAACAGCTGGACAGAGTTGTCTCTTTGTCAAATTCAAGATCTGGTTTTTTTGGTGGTTGTTTTTTCTAGAACTTTCTCCATGCATGTCAGAGCCATACGATCACTGTCCCTCAAAGTGGTGAGTCCATGATTTAGAATAAAGCATTTTTAGCAAAGAAGATATTGAACGTAGGTAATATGTTTCATGGAGACTTCAAATCTAATTACAGAAAATACTTATATATTGTTCATCATGCTGATTAGCTACCGTATTAGTTCGTTTTTACATTGCTGACAAAGACATACCCGAGAGTGGGTAATTTATAAAGAAAAAGATGTTTAATGTATTAACACTTCCACGAGGCTGGGGAGGCCTCACAATCAGGGCAGAAGGCAAAAGGCACATCTTACATGGTGGCAGGCAAGAGAGAATGAGAGAACCAAGTGAAAGGGGTTTCCCCTTATAAAACCATCAGATCTTGTCAGACTTGTTCACTACCCTGAGAACAGTATGGGGGAAACTGCCCCCATGATTTGATTATTTCCCACTGGATCCCTCCCACAATACATGGGAGTTATGGGAGTTACAATTCAAGATGAGGTTTGGGCAGGGACACAGCCAAACCATATCAGCTACTTAGTATATCTTTTGGATTAAGAGTCCACACACTTTTATGAGTATTAAAAAATATCGTGAAAATGGCCATACTCCCCAAAGTAATTTATAGATTCAGGGCTATTCCTATCAAGCTACCATTGACATTCTTCACCGAATTGTAAAAAGCTACTTTAAATTTCATGTGGAACCAAAAAAGAGCCCACATAATGAAGACAATCCTAAGCAAAAAGAACAAAGCTGGAGGCATCATGCTACCTGACTTCAAACTATAATACAAGGCTACAGGAACCAAAACAGCATGGTACTGGTACCAAAACTGATCTATAGACCAATTGAACAGAACAGAGGTCTCATAAGTAACACCACACATCTACAACCATACAACCACCTTATCTTTGATAAACCTGACAAAAACAAGCAGTGGGAAAAGGATTCCCTATTTAATCAATGGTGTTGGGAAAACTGCCTAGCCATATGGAGAAAGCTGATCCTGGATCCCTCCCTTATACCTTATACAAAAATTAACTCAAGATGGATTAAAGACTTAAATGTAAGACCTAAAACCGTAAAAACCCTAGAAGAAAACTTAGTCAATATCATTCGGGACATAAGCATGGGCAGAGACTTTATAACTAACACACCAAAAGCAATGGCAACAAAAGCCAAAATAGACAAATGGGATCTAATTAAACTAAAAACCTTCTGCACGGCAAAAGAAACTGTCATCAGAGTGAACAGGCAACCTACAGAATGGGAGAAAATTTTTTCATTCTACCCATCTGACAAAGTGCTAATATCCAGAACCTACGAAGAACTTAAACAAATTTACAGGAAAAAGCAAACAACTGCATCAAAAAGTGAGCGAAGAATATGAACAGACACGTCTCAAAAGAAGGTATTTATGCAGCCAACAGACACATGCAAAAATGCTCTCCATCACTGGTCATTAGAGAAACGCAAATCAAAACCACAATGAGATACCATCTGAGGCAAGTTAGAATGGCAGTCATTCAAAAGTCAGGAAACAACAGATGCCAGGGAGGATGTGGAGAAATAGGAATGCTTTTACACTGTTGGTGGGAGTGTAAATTGGTTAAACCACTCCAGAAGTCAGTGTAGGGATTCCTCAAGGATCTAGAACTAGAAGTACCATTTGCCCCAGCAATCCCATTACTGGGTATATACCCAAAGGATTATAAATCATTCTACTATTAAGACACATGCACATGTAAGTTTATTGTGGCACTATTCACAATAGCAGGGACTTGGAACCAACCCAAATGTCCATCAGTGATAGACTAGATAAAGAAAATGTAGCATATATATACCATGGAATACTATGCAGTCATAAAAAAGGATGAGTTCATGTCCTTTGCAGGAACATAGATGAAGCTGGAAACCATCATTCTCATCAAACTAACACAAGAACGGAAAACCAAACACCGCATGTTCTCACTCGTAAGTGGGAGTTGAACAATGAGAACACATGGACACAGGGAGGGGAACATCACACACCAGGGCCTGTCAGGGGGTGGGGGGCTAGGGAAGGGATAGCATTAGGAGAAATACCTAATGTAGATGACAGGTTGATGGGTGCAGCAAACCACCATGGCACGTGTGTACCTATGTAAGAACCTGCACGTTCTGCATAGGTACCCCAGAACTTAAAGTATTCAAAAAAAAATGATATAAATGGGAATATAGTCCAATAAAATAAACTGAGGTTTTTAAAAATTAATTGCCCCCTGTTCAGTACTGTCATCTCCACTGACATCCTTATTTCTTTGCATATTCTGTACACCAGGCATGGTTAAGAAATTAAATTGAGAGACTCTGTTAAAATCATTAATTTTCTGTGGTGTTTAAGTAACTGGGTTGACCCCTTAAACTTATTGTATGATATTGCTTTTTCAGATTGAAGGCTTTCTGTCAGAATGCACTGTCTCCCAAAGGAGAAGATAGCTGCAGATCTTTCGGGCTACACTGTAGGAATGTAATTTGATTGTTCCACAAAGCATAGCAGCTAAACCATAGAACTGTTTGTTGTGTCGACTTCCTTGTTAGACCATGTTGAGGAGGAATGTAGATTACTCGATGCTCTGAGGAATTTAGATTTCTAAAATGAATTAAAATGCAGTTTCTTTTTTCCCATAGATATTTTTAAATGCAGAGACAATCAGGCTGGGAAATCTACCAACTGGCTCCTTCTCATCTTCTTCACCCAGCTCCTCAAGTTCTCGGCAGACAGTGTATGAACTCTGCGTCTGCCCCAGTGGTAAACTGTACCTTTCTCCAGCAGGAGTAGGTTCCACTTGTCAGTCCAGTAGCAGCATCTGCTTGTGGAGCTGAAGTGACTGATTTCTCCTCACACCAGAATAGCCTTTTGTTCCTGTCCGTCTGCTTCACAGTTCTGCTCGGTTTCCCTTGTGATCAGTCCAGAGCTTCTTTGAATTGTCCACAGAGCTGCTTCCAGTGTGAGCAGGGATTCGCCACCACCTTCTCTTGTGATTTACTGTACTGCTCAACGCAGAAGGTGTGATTGACACAGCAGTGGAAAAAGCGTCGTCAGCAGGAAAACTGGATCAAGACTTTTGCTCAAAAGGGAGAATAACATAGGTGCCTTTGCTATGCGAAGTGAAGCACACAGTTTTAGATTTTTGCAGGAACTGGATATGAACTGCACATATACACGTTACATAAATGAAATTCCCAGTATCCAATGGCAAGATGAAATGGTTAACCCTGTAAGAAAACTTATTCTACAGTCTGAAAGCACAATTTTCCATTCATCTTTTTGGATGTAAACTTTTATCCCCAACTTTTAAAATTTTAAAGCATTATGTAATGTTTGCTTTACTAAAAATTAAATTCAATATATGGTTTTTAACAAAACAGAACAAAACAAAACAATACAGAATCTCTCCCTGAGTTTTTTGTTTCTTTAATTTCAGTGTGTTGTTACTCTTTGTCTACTAAGTCTAGAATTTTGTACATTAGGTAATTTTGAAAGCACTCAGCAATATATTCTTTACAGTATTAACAAAATGCCATTATAATGTCATTTGTCAGATCTGGATGGCCTTATATAGTATTTACATGGCTACTGCATGTGACGTATTTGCTTTTAACAAAATATCTAATTTACTGCAATATAAGATAGGTTTAAGAAGGACATATTGATGGTATTAAATCCATAGATCATTTTTTAAAAACTCACATGCTATCCTTGCTATCCTTTACACCTAGGTTTTAATAGTGTAATTTTTGTTTGCTCCACTCACTTTACACTTGATTCTGACTGCTAAAATTCAGACACCCTCTAAATTAATAATACTAATGTGATGCATAATGCTGAGAATAAATTCACTTTCCATTGGGGTATCATCTTCAGAATTATTCTCCATTTTTTTTTTTACTGGAGGTTAGGATTTAAAGAAGTTAGAAGTTAACTTAAAATTTCTTGACTAAACAGTAAAAATGACAAATGCTAATAAACACTGAAAATGTGTTTACTTCACTAGATTCATATTTTAGGGAATTTACTCCCATTTCTATTCAACTGTTAACATGTATTTACTTTTATTAGATTCTTAAACTACACTGACCTCAACAATTCTAGTTCTTTTCATTTTCCAATGCTTATTTTTGTATGTGACGTCTTAGTAAACAACTCCAGAATATCGAAGATTCATTTATCACAACACCCCTTAACTCAAATTCTTGAAACTTACAGAGTCAAAGAATGTAAAACTGTATTAAATATTTCCTATTTATTATGGGAAGATGACTTAATTACTATAAGGTAAGTCCTGAATTTTCACATGTCAATCAACTTTTTTTCTGCCGCATGCACACTATCAACAGTTGTGCTTCCTTTTGGGGATTAACGGCTGTAGAATCTTTGGAGTTCAGGTCTCTACAGCTCAGAGTGAACTGGGAGATTAGAACTTGTTGCAAAAGATGTGGTTAGTGAAAGTAGAAATATTGGCAATGCAAGAAGAAAAGTGAAACATTTGACCAGAATTATCTTGTTTCCATAACCTAGCATATCAAATAACTGAAAAAGCTCATGTCCACTGTACTCAGCAGAAGGGTTCAAAGGCTAATTTACTTTTATTATTTTTAAAATAAAATGTGGCTTATATTTGGGTGTTAATATATAACTTTTAAAATCAATATTGAAGTAAGAATTATGATATACAATTGCTTACAAAGTTATCTGATAACAAGAGTTTATATTAAAATAAGAGAATTTAAGAAATCTCACATTGGTCTTTGCAAAATAAAGTATAATACAAGAAATGTTGAGAAATTATGTGTGCTAATCACTATATTATGGACTTTTAAGGAAAACATTATGTAGTAATTTCAGACATATTCAAGTTCTAATCATCCTTCTATTAAAATCATTAGAAACTTTCTAAGTCAAATGGGAATAATTCTTTTGAGTAGGAACTGGCCCTGTTTCTAATCTCAGCTGTCTTCTAATCAATTGAGCTGTTTTAGGCAGTTTGAGAATCTCTCCAGGCTTCAGTTTACTCAACTTTACAGCAAAAGTATTGAATAAAATAGTCTCTTGGGGTTCCTTTCTATTCCGACATGTTCTAATTTCAAGTACAAATATTACAGAGGGCAAAAGAGAAAATTGAAAATTTAAATTCTATGTCATAAGAGGAGAAAAGATGAAAAAAATGTAAAAATCAATTCCAGTGAGGGGCTGTCACATTTTTAATTCAAATGTATTCTCAGAAGTATAGACACAATTCAAAAGTAACTTACAAGCTTGAGAGCTTTAGACTGTATCCAGATGATACAACAAATCTATTCAGTACAGTAGACAAAATAGTGATAGCGATGGTTTTCCTATTCAACACCAAGTAATTGCTTTTAGTTGTTTGACTAGCTGTTTCAGATTTCTGAACCTAAGAGAAGATCCCTGCCTCAGAGAGATCAAGCCTATGGTGAAGGCTTAGAAGAATGGCCCCAAATGTCCTCGTTTTCCTCATTCAAACACAAAAAAGCATTAAAAAAAAAATACAGTGGCCCCTTAATTGCACACTACCCAAACAGATTATTTTCCCAGTACCATCTTTATGTTACAATATGAAAAAATATAATGCAGTTTACTTACTTATATGATATAAATTTCATCTTCCCCAAATGACACTGAGAAAAATGAATCCTTTATAGTGTACTACATGGATGTGACTAAGCTTATTACCCATATCTTAATAACTTCATACTCAGTGTAGTCTAGGAAGGAACAAAGGGAGGAAGAAAAAGAGGCTGGTAGTACTGCTAGCATTTAAGTTATTTGCCGGGAATGGATAAACCGAGATGTATTTGAATTCAGGTTTGGGGGATCAAAAGGAAAGATGCAAAGAAGACACATTATTCTTTTCTTTTTCAGAAGATTTCAATTAAAAACTTCAAAAAAACAGCAAGAGCAACAAAAACTTCCAAATTCCCTACTTCTCTCGTTCAACATTTCCAAAATTTCTATCCGGTACTTATTAGTCATACACACACATACACACATATATATGTCTAAAATATATGTATTTTATTGTGAATGATATGCTTTATAATTTGTCATAATTATCTAAGAGTTTAAGACAATTATACACTTCAAATTTTACTGCAACTTGGGAATCTTAGATTACAGTACTTCAAATCTAGGAAAATGGACCCAGCAAATCCAGTTCTAGTTCTGCCCCTGGCTAGTCATGTGAACTTACCTACTTAAGACACATATTTAATTACGTTGGTCACAGTTCAATTGTCTGTGAGAGGGATATATCAAACTAGACATTTCCTTTAGTCACATTCATTTTTAAATTTTTCTGATTCATTTAAGGAAGTACTCATAAATCTTAGGTTAAGTAGCCATATCTGAACTAGCATTTGTGATCTCCTTCGGCACCTTAAAAAGTTACTTATAAATGTTGAAATGCAAATCTTTTTGGCATGCTACTTCCTCTGCTCTTTTTTATACTCCCTTTTATACTCTGACCATTTGAACATTAAGGTTCCTTTGGAAAAGTCATGCTTGGTTAACAGGATTCAGTAATATGGTTGACGTTCTAAAGGAAAATAAAGCATTTGGGTCTTATTCAAAGTGACTGTTTAGGAAATAGAAATATTAACCAAATACAAACATTCTGTTGATTTGTTATTACCTCCATAAAGCTAAAAAGCAGTGATCTTTTGAAGAAATGATAATGTGATCACAGAGGTTAACTGCTGAACTGTTTATAACGTTTTATTCCATTCAAAATTTCTGCATATTCTATCTGAATGACTCAATCGGAGAATGCTTCATTTTACAAAAATAGCATTTGATACAATAAAACTTCTAATAAATTGTTTCACTGCAAACATGGTATCTCTGTGTGAGGCAGCAATAGCCTGGAGAGTGTCGAAGGCATAGGAGTGTTATATTTCATAGCAGATAATGTCAATATAATAATGTCAAATTATTAAAATCATTGAAAGTATTTAATGGCCAAATTTTCTATAAAAACCATCAAAGCCAAATTCATATTTGAGTTTTATATGATGGAGGTCTTGTCACCTAATTCTTCAAGTAGCTGTGGTCTAATAAGAATTGTTCATGTGATCATATTTAATGACATATGGAGAAATTATTTGCTCTATGTACTGGTGTATATTACAGTAATGAATACTGCAAAATATCATTATCACGAAGTAAAGGAAAATTGCATTTGTATTCATTTTAAATAATCATAAACTAATCGATAACTTAATTGAACACTATTGTTAATGTTGTTTTATACTGCAATTTATTAGTTGTTTAAATGTCAAAGACCAAAGAATGGGATTTCTACTGTATTTAGCCCGAAAACACTGCTGCTCCTACTAATATATTCAAATGAATAGGGGGGCTTGTAATTATAAGGTAGTTAACATCCTTCTTGGAGGATTCTGAGCTGTAGAAATTAAGGAATGCTTTTGTTTCAGAAGGGAAACATCATTAGTGTGGTCCACTTTTCTTTTATACATGCATAACAAACTCCTTAGTATTCATAAAACCTATACACAAAGACCGTATCCCAAAATGGGCCCAGCATGGATCTACTCAGCTGAGTTTAAACTTTCACTACTTGCTGAACATTATTTGGAGAATAAAATTAATTTGAAATACTTGTAGAACCAGAGGGCTATTTTTTAATTGTTAACTGAGGTGGCTCTGCATTTTGAGAAAGCCAATGAAAACCATTAAAGGAAATGAGGTATAATGAACTGTAGTTCTTTTTTGTCTTTTTCAGTCTTAATATCTCACTTGTTTGAATATTTATAAATAAAAGCCAAACAGGGTTAAAGATAGACAAGGACATTCGTTAACAATGGAGATGTGTAATTTGGAGTTTGAGTGTCTCGTTATTTATACAATTCTTTAAATCAGGTCCACTATTCATTTATTTTGTTTTGTACTTTCATGTAAATGTTTTCTTGTATATATAGATATATGAAAAATGGAACTATTTTCTTACACATACTATGCAACATGTTTGTAAAATTGCAATATTACCAAAATTACAAAAGCTGTGCTTTTGTACTCTATCTTGCTTTATGTAAAAATCACTTTTTCTATTTAAACGGACTCTCTGTCCTATAAACTGTAGATAACATATCTATTCAAAAATCAGTCTATTGTATCTTTTGTTTAGATTGAACTTAATTGGGGTATATTTTGGGGGAGAGAAAAATGCAGCAAAGTTTTGGCAGTTGGAAACCTTTTTTTCTTTGACATGAGACCTTTTGAAGCATGCAATGAGCTCATATAATTTAAGATCTCTCCTGTGATTCTTGTAATTTGTCCTAATTTTGGTGCTACTATGTAAACATGATTAAATGTGATAGTCAAAACAAAGAGGATAAAAACTTACATGCTATCATTTCATTTATTTTATTGAGTTTTGACAAATAGTTCAAAGAGGGGTATGAGTATTAGTGAGTAGTTTTCAATTCTGTGTTTTAAAGATCTATTATATTAAGATGTATGTTTTGAAAATATTAAGCTTAATCCATATATTTATACTGGATATAATGCCTCTCTTATGAAAACCTGGGCGTATTGTCCCTTTTAAATACATGACCAATAAAACTGAAGAATTGTTCACGATAAAATCACCAGTTTATCAAACGATTAGCTAATAGTTTATTCATTCTAGAGTCACTCTGATTTGAGTTTTTGGGATAGGACCAAAAAAACTACTATGTGCACAAACTTACACCCCTACATATACATAATCAAATTACCCACAAAAATAGACATATATGCAATGGTGAATATAATACAATATATATCTAATAATATAAACACATGCTAATCATTACTTATCTGGTGTATTTCTTCGTTCCCTTGTTATATTCACTATCTCTCAATCCAGGAGGACTTGAGGCAATGGTATGGACTTTGTTAGCTTTTAGCAATACATCCAGTCCAACATTGTACATACATTGAAAGCGACATTGTGCCACATTGCTTCCAAAACAAAAACAAAAACAATATTCACAGGTAGCTTTTTCCCCCCAAAGAGTTACTATGAGCTTTCATTCTTTGCTGTTGAAGTATCTCTACACACTGTTCCAGATATTAGTTACAAACAACAACAGAACCATTTACCTTCCTCATGAAGACTTCCAAATGTTAAATCTAAACAGAACACAAATGATTGCTTTCAGCTCAGGGAAGCATATCTATTCTATGACTTTATTTAATTTCCAAGAAAGTTTTGGATGGTTTGGATAAGTGTGTAACCAAATACTTGAATATTTATCTCCAGCAGATTCTTAGGCCATTTACCAACCGTAGTAATGCCTGAATTTGATAATCTCTTTTCTCTTAATAGTGGGGCAAATAAGGAAAAAGCAGTTTTCTTTTCTCTACCCACACTCAACACCATGATCAGATGTATAGTTTTCCCCCACAATAACCAATACTCCTGTGCCAGCTGCATGTCCTACTATTTAATTTCAATGCCCACTGAAATTAGCACTGATGCCATAGGTTAAGGGCTCAGTCCCACAGATTTCCCCCTTTTGCAGACCCCAGTCACAAGTAACAGGACCCCAGGTTACCCACAATTTCTGTCCGAATGGGCTACAAATCCCATGACCCTTCTTAGGTTTGATAATTTGCTAGATGGACTCACAGAACTGGGGAAAACGGCTTATTTCCTACTGCTGATTTATTACAACGAGTATTTTGAAGGGTACAAATGAACAGCCAGATGAAAAGGCAGGTAGGCTGGAGTTTACAAGGGTCCAGAGGGCAGGGAGTTGGGGCTTGTCACTCTCACAGCAGAGGGATGTGTTCATCAACCCAGGAGCTCTGAACCTCACAGTTCTGGAATTTTTATGGAGTCTGCATCACGTAGGAATGATTAATTATATACTCCAACCCCCCAACCCCACCTCCTGCTAGAAATTGGAAAGTGAGGCTGTCAGTCCCAAGCTTCTAGTCATGGCTTGGTCTTCCTGGTGACCAGCTTCCTTCCAGGATCCCACAAAGAGGCACCTCATTTGAACAAAAGACACTACTATCACTCAGGAAATTACCAAGGTCTTAGGAGTTCTGTGTCAGGAACTGGCTTAAAGACCAAATATGAAAATGAAAATTTCTCCTACAATCCCTACTTATAGGGACAGGGACTGATATATACATTCTTATTATTTCACATGGGACTATGGAGAACGAAGGTTGGGAATGGGTATTCAGCCAGGTAATCCAATGCAATATTATATTGATGTTTTCATCAACTGGTGTATCACTAAAATAGTATCACCATGATTGGTGTATCACTAAAATAACTGATCCAGAAAATAGTGCCTGTGTGAATTTTAAATGTTCCTGTAACTTCTTCTAATTACTAGGTAGAAGCTTATCTTCTTCGGGCAGGTCACATGACAAAATTTGAAGCGAAGGTATTTTTTCACATTTCTCTTTCCCTCTTAGTAAGAATTATTACTTGCCATGAAAGCACGTTTTATGGTAATGGAGCAATATTCATTTTATAGTACTCACTAATTTTTTTAGTTAACATATTGAGCTAATAAAATTATTCTAACTAAAAAAGGTATCACTTGATTTATTTAAAATACAAATTGAACCCCTAGTTTTTTCATCACTCCAAGAAACACCACTGATACAAAAAAGAGAAAGGCTATGTCAGAAAAAAAAATATTTAAGTGCAGCTTATAAATATATACTAAACATTTTCTCATAAACATGCCCAAATCACTAATTGTTTTAAGTGGTGCATATAAACCATGAAGATAAAATGAGTAAACTGGGTTGGTCCAAAAATAATGCTTAGTATATTTTATAAGCTACAACTACATATTACATCAAATTAGTTTTGCAGATATTTTTAGTAGATCTAGCCATATTTTCTAAGTTATTTATTTTCTCTATACAGCTGTTTCCAGAAGGATATAAGTTTTCTTACAATATGGAGTAAGACAGAAATATTAAAGAAAAACCATAGAGGAGAAAGAAGTAACAAAAAGGTTAAACAATATGACTAGTGTGTTGAATATTACATGTATGTTTAAGTTTCCTATAAGTCAAAGATTTAAGGGGAAATGGTATAGATATATCGTTCTCAACATTTGAGAACATATACACCATATATTCATAACATATAAAATGTTTCCTTATGTTAAATCTAAAAGTCATTCTTGTCAAATTATTTATTCAAGGATGAAGAAAACACAATGTGTTAATTTTATTAAAATTTTAACATTATTAAAATTAATTTTATTAAAATTATTAGATTCATTAACAATTTTATTGTTTTTATCTATTTACTTAACAGTTACAGAAGATATTACGGGATTGTTTAGAGCATTGTAAAGCATGAAAACCTCAAATGATTGATAATTATGAATCCTTAAAATATGCATAAAATACCAAGATGCGTAAAACATCAAAATAGAGTGGATCCAAAGCATTTGTGAACTAGCCGGATATTTTTCCAAAAATGCATCTACTTCCTCTTGTTATACAATTTTTTTGTGCATTATATAATAGTGTCAATAGATGAGTTGATCGTGCAATGTAAGAGAATAACAATTTGAAAAGTACTGACGATAAAAAGTCTTGGCAAAACTCTATACTATTTAAATTTTAAGAAAATGATAAACCCAGTACTTTCCTACTGTTTACAATTTGCTACAAGATTCTGAATTCACTGGACACCACAACTAAGGCCTTTGAGACATCATAAAGAAAGTCACCTATTACCTTTCAAAATTATTTAAGGAAATATAAAGTCAAAGAAAGACATAGCTAAAATTCTAGAAATACATAATACTTTGTTTCATTGGGTCAACTGAATTACTAAATTAGATTTTATATATCATCTTGAATTTATAGCTGATTCAATGACATTCCATTAAGTTTTGAATGCACAGCACAGAAAATGAAGTCAATAATTAAAAGTAGGCTGAAAGTCTGGAAAAATAAATAAGTTATTACCTCAAACCAAAAGTCTAATAGACAAAAATTCATAAATAAGAACTGAAACTTCTAATTAAAAAATTAAAAGAATATACATTTCCTTTTACATTTCATCGTTTGAAATCTGTATTTATTTTGTAATGACTCGTTATTTATCTTGAAGAAATAAAAATCCCGTAAGTAAAATGAATTTGATTTTTTTCAAAAGGAGGATCAGTAGATTTGAAGTAAAAAAAAATCAGATTTCAAGTCCTGTGTTTCATTTTAGATATTATTCAATAACCTATATACACCTAATCTAAGTGAGAGGTTTAGACAAGATGTGATTGTACATGGATTTCACTTGGCATGCTAACTCTGATCAATTGAAACGGGCTATCAAAATGGAACCCTGGATATTGAGAATGGTTTAGGAGTAAGTTTAAGCTCTCCAGGAAAGTGGCGTGATCATTCGTAGTGTCAAAGTTCTGGAGTGATCGACTAACGGTAGCACATCTGTTCTATTTTTGCAGTCAGATGATCTCAAGGTCTTTCAACTCAACACTGGGCCTGTTTCCTGATGGTAAAATAAAGGGATTGAATGCCAAACACTTTTTAGATGCATCAATGTTACTTTAGTAAACTTTACAATTTTAATGTATTTAATCCTGTGCTATCGTATTTTTTTTTACTCTTATATAGAAGTATAACATATGGAGCTATGTACTGAAATGAAAGGAATAAGGAAGGTAGCACCTGAGGTGGCAAGTTGTCAAGCATTTGACAAATTATGGTCCATTATGTAATTCAAAGTACACAATGGAATTACCTGGGTTATGCAAGTTGTCTGAGTTCTGGATAACAACTTTCCTTGGTAGTATGCTGCTCAAAGATAAAAGTAAATGAACTAACACAGATTAAGCATATATTGTTTATTGTATAATGAATTAAGATAATTTGTTACTTTTAAAATTATAATCTCAATAATTTTTGGATTAAGTTCAACTAATCCAAGTTTTATAGACAAGAAAGCTGTGTTTCAGAGAAATTAAGTAATCTCTCTATTACTTTTTTTACATTTTAGTTAATTCATCTGCTCATGAATTTAATAACTAGTAACAAGCACCTCCATATATCAGGCATTGTGCTAGGTGCTGCTGAACAAACTGGTCAATCAAAGAAGGATAGGCAAGGTCAAATGCTCCTGGAACTTTTGGGCAGTGGGAGAAATGGAAACCACAAATATCACAAAAATAAACAAGATAATGTCATGATGTGGAAAATTCTATAAAGAAAATAAGCAATGGCACGGTGACAGGCTGAGTCTCATTTATTGTAAGTGTGTTAAAAATAAGAACTTTATCATTTCTAATTATAAAGGCCTTCTGTAGTAGGATATGTGCCTCTCCAAACATTTGAATACCAGG